ACGCCGGTCAATGGTCAAAGGGTCAGGTCGGGTCGGGTTATAACCGATCAAAACAGGAGCAAAATCGGTCAAAGCGGTCATTTTTTTCTTCCCAATGCGCAGTGGCGACGCGTGGGGGCGTGAATAGTGCCCTGATATCGGAAAATTCTCGGAAAAATTCTTAAAAATTATTTTAAGCGATTTCGAGATACTTACAAAGGTCGGTTCAAAATTTTGAACGGCAGAGAGCTTGATTTTAACGAATCGAAAACTTTGACCGCTTCACCTCCTCACTCGCTGCCGTCGACGAAGACCAAGGATGACATCGACGGACTCGAAACGATGCAAGGAACACGATGGTGCGGGAGGTGTCGTAAACGGATGCTCAGATCGTCGTGAATCGACAAAAAACTGATTGAAATTGTGTTATTACCGACGATACTTCCGACTGAAATTAACGACGAACGACGACGATTCACGACGAAAGGTTTGAGGGGTTTTGTTCCTCGCTCAACAACGAACACGATGGTGGTTTCGGCTCGTCGATCAGAGGTGTGACGGCGGGTAGATCGGAGTTGAAATGAGGGTTGTTGGAGAAGGGAAAACTGAAAAAATGAGAACCTGCGCACGGGGAGGGGGTTTATAATTCAACTCATAATAAAATGGGTAAACTATGAGTTTAGTCACTGAACAAAATGATTTATCAGTATACAAAAAATAAAACAGATTTTCAGAATCAAATATTAAAACAAAATACAATTACATGCCCCCTAATCACATGTACCATACTCTGTAACAACGCCGGAAGAACTCCCTTACTGAAGTCGATAGATGCACTGGTACAATTCATTTAACCTGAAAAGGTGAGTAATAGAGTGAGCTTTGGAAAGCTCAGTAATACAGAACTACCAGATGATGCTGAAGAACGTGCAAATACAGATAAACATATTTTCCTTATTGGTTCAGATATTTACAGATCTTTATATTGAGTTGAGGTCCATTGATATCGCATGTAGCAACAAATAGTATTCATTTCAGATGGAAATATTTCGAATGTCTAGGTTCAGGAGATCAGAACAGGTTTTCTAGTGTGTTCCCGTAAAATCATGTAACTTTTTCAGATCTTTTTAAACATATATATATATATACCCCCATCCGTCAAGTCCAAAATGTGTAGGTTCCCCAAAACCATACACCCACCGACAAGTCCAGTATGGCCCTGAGCACACAGCCGAGGAGCCGATAAGTAAGGTCTAAGCACATAGCCGAGGAACCTCCAGGTATACTTCCTCCAACATTACCCCCCAAATAAAACATGTTCCGTCCGTAAACGAACATATCAAAAATCAAAACATAATCCAGGTCAAGTATCATATCAAAATCCAGGTCAAGTATTTGATCAGAATCCAAGTCAAGTATCAGATCAGAATCCATGTCAGATATCCGATCAGAATCCATGTCAAGTATCAGATCAGAAATCAAATTGAAAATCAGGTAAAATATTCATGTGAGTAGGGAACACACCAGAATTTACAGATAGTATTCAAAGATATTGGATAATCTTAATAAGTAGAGGAACACAGATCTTCAGTATACCTATAAAATATCGAAATTCAGAATCACTATTGAAAGAGTTCAATAACTGACAGAATCATCAGTTATTCAGAATGTGACTTGAGCTGATAAGAAAGAAATGAAGGTTCAGGACATTTACATTCTATGTCGATTGATCGGATTATCGGGCAACTCTTAGATGAATAGTTCCCAGAACTAATGCTTGTCAATTGGTCAATTCATTGTCATTACAGGGTATTTACATTTTCATACCACAAATTCTAGTCCATATATAATCCTCAGAATCATCGCTGAATAAATCTTCCAATGTCTTTATTTCATGTTCACGCTTCAACTATATCATGAAATGCTGACGTGCTTGATTTGTAGTTCAAGATCCATAAGAACATTACATCATATATGTTCATTAATGTTTCCAGACTCATCCAAATCACTACTTAATCGTCCTTGAGGTTACTTAGTTCATTTAGCATTCAAGTCTATTTCAGATACTTCGGGGTTTTCCAAGGTAATTCAAACGTTTCTGAATTTCGGATACATACAAATATCAAATTCTTACTGTTGAATGCGATTTAGAGTTGAGCTTAGCTGAATACTTCCAAAATTATCATCGAGCCAAACTTAAGAATACAAACACGCATTCAAGTGACATCTATGTCGTTCAGGTATTGATATAACACTAGCATTGGTTTCTCGGCTTAATATGTGATTTGTAACTTTTAAGAGCAGTACCACATCCATGTTTATTTGGATTCCTTAATTAACCCAAGACATTTCCTTAGTATAGGCCATAAGGGTATTTTGGTCATTTTGGTGTTCAGTTTATTCCAATCATTACAGAGCTCAAGGATATCCAATTATTTCTAAGCTTGGTGATATTCTTGGGTTATTTCCATTATATGGGTATTTTTGGTCATTTTACTGATTAAGTGCAATTTAATCCTTTCCTTCCGTCTGATCTTACTATTATTTCCAATCTTATCATTTATTTAAGTAATTTCGAATAATTCTGACAACAAAACACCCCCGACAAATTGTTCTTCAGGTATTTACTCATAACTCGGATATTTCCGGGTCAAGTGCCTTATCAGATTTTATAAACGGAATATCAGGAATTTTCCTGCACTAAATCAGGATCTTAATAATTAAATACGTACTTAATCGAGTTAAGTACGAATCCTCTAAGTATTTTCTCATTCAGAGTCAACTCAGACTATTTTACCTCTTAAGGGCATTTCCGTAATTTCTTAACCAAATAATTTCGATATTAGCTCTTAACGAAAATAATATAATTTAGAGATCCTATGATTAATTGCTTTCTTGAACACTCTCTGATCTTGAAACGGTTCTCTTAACAAACTTTTAATATCCTTCTCAAACTCTCCTAGGATTAAAACCGATTATTCATAATTTCCAAATAAAACTAACATTTCTTATGCACATCAATATTTTTATCAAATCAATATGTCTGTAAAATCCTCTTATCTAACTTCCATATTCAAATCTTGTCTTTTTATAACATAAGGGTATTTTCGTAATTTTACCCTACCGGAGTATTCTTATAATTTCTCATCCAAGTACCTTTAACATTTAACATTTGATGAAATAAATTATAAGTTGCAGATACAGGGTTGATTTCTTTATCACTAATCACAAACTTGTAATTTAATCTAACAATTCCTCAATCTTTTATATTAGTCATTCGATCCGTAATTAGTTACAGAATTTCTACCACATCATATCGAGTGTATAAATTATTCAACTCCACCAAAGTGACCAATATTATCTTGTTCATGCATTTATCAATATAAACATGTTCCATAAAGCATAAAGAGGTAGTAAAGTATTATCTCGATTTTCGTGTAATATTGATCGACCATAAAAATTCCATTCGAACGCATTTGATCTTCAATTCAACTTCCAGTAATTCCTCAGATACATATCAACATAAATTATATCAGAAACATAGCTTAATTGCGATAAACGGATCTAATCGGGTGATAAATCAGTGAAAAACAACTTACCGGGTTCGAATTTGGCGAAACGGACTTCGGATTCAGGACGTCGAAAGCATAAAATATGACTTTTCGAAAATTTGGAATTTTCGGTTAAAATCAAAGTCAACGGGTTTGACTGCCAATATCGAGGCCTCGGGTCTGAATTTCGAAAAAACGGACTGCGGAATCGGATTTGGAACGTCGAAAAATGTCAGGATAGTTATACTCGGTCAAAGTCAAAGGTTGTTTAATGCCCGGTCAAAGTTTTGGTTAACAGTGGTCAACGTCGGTCAATGGTCAACGGGTCTGGTAAACGGGTCGGGTCGGGTCAGCGGGTCGGGTCGGGTTATGACCGGTCAAACCGGTCAAAACAGGAGCAAAACCGGTTAAACCGATCATTTTTTCTTCCCTACGCGCAGTGGCGAGCGCGTGAACAGTGCACTGATATCGGAAAATTCTCGGAAAAATTCCTAAAAATTATTTTAAGCGATTTCGAGATACTTACAAAGCTCGGTTCAAATTTTTGAACGGCGGAAAGCTTGATTTCAACGAATCGAAAACTTTGACCGCTTTACCTCCTCACGTGCTGCCGTCGACGGAGACCAAGGATGACATCGACGGACTCGGAACGATACAAAGAACACGATGGTGCGGGAGGTGTCGTAAACGGATGCTCGGATCATCGTGAATCGACGAAAAACCGATTGAAATTGAGTTATTACCGACGATACTTCTGACTGAAATTAACGACGAACGGCGACGATTCACGACGAAAGGTTTGAGGGGTTTTGTTCCTCGCTCGACAACGAACACGATGATGGTTTCGGCTCGTCGATCGGAGGTCGGACGACGAGTAGATCAGAGTTGAAATGAAGGTTGTTGGAAAAGGAAAAACTAGAAAAATGAGAACCTACGCAAGGGGAGGGGTTTATAATTCAACTCATAATAAAAATGAGTAAACCATGAGTTTAGTCACTAAACTTCCTGTACTTCTTAAAACGGTCTTTCAACTTTGAAATTTTATAATTTAATCCATCGATTCTTTCAAAATACCAATTAAATCTACCACTTTATAATTTCTTAAAATTTAACCCCTAAATTGGGGTGTTACATGGCAAACATACATACATATGTACATACATTTATACATACATGTGTGTTGTTTTTATATATGAATGAATTGGTTCTATGTAAAATGGGATACTTTTCTATCAAAAAATTAATTATTAATGTAATTTTCCCACAAATTTATTTATTTATTATTAGTTTAGGCTAAATTTATTTAAATAAAAAAGATTAAAAAAAAGATTTACAAAGAAAAGAAACGTCCTCCATTAATTTCGGAAAACTTACTGAAAAACAAATCTTTTTGGATATAATTACGATATTTAGTTACTATACATAGAAATAAAGAGGAACAAATGAAAATGTAAGAGAAAGACAAAGATTTTTATAAAATGGAATGAATAATTTAGAGACAATGGAAAAAGATAAAGTTTCATCCTCGTGATCTGTGGAAAAAAAGAAGTCTCACGTGAAAACCCAGATTGCCTTGAAGCCTATTGATTCTTCATTATTCGTCCTTCAGCACCCAATCATTGTTGACATTCTTAGAATAGCTTGGCTTTTTGGACGGTAATAAGCTGCAAAATCTAAGGATTTTGGGACTCTGGGTTGATGTTTTTCTTTCTGATAAATTTGTTTCCTTCAACTTCTGTATGAAGAAAAGACTTCATTCAAAGGTGGGGTTTTCCCCTTCCCTTCCCTTTTATTTTTTGTTTTAATTTAAAGAATTTCCTTTTTGTTCATGTTTCTACTTAACAATTGGATATAAATTTTGGGGTTTCCCCCTCTTTTGTGTGTGGATTATTTTAGGTGATTTTTACTTTTGTTAGTCGGTGCATTCAGGTTTTTTAGTTGGGTTTCAATGTCTTTGTTTGCTTTGCAAGTAACCAACAAATATTTGATGAAATTCTTTGTGGGATTTCCTTTGTAAGTGTGAAATTATTGGTGGCTTTTTTTCCTTTAGAGTTCAACTTAGAAGGCATTTCTTTGGATTTGTCAATGGTAAAGTGTATTAAAAGAGAAGAATTTGGGATTCTAAGCAAAAAAAATCTTGTTTTTCTAGATGGGATTTTAATGAACTATTGTCTTTTTTTGTGGAAGCTTAATTATGGAAACTTTTGGTTCAGATGAGGTCAATTTGTTCTTTTAGGAGAAACTTGAAGGAGCTAAAAGGGATAACTAGAGCCAGATTGTATTGTTAGGTGGATAATAATATACCTCTTAAGATACTGAAGGGTATACGTGTGTGTGCGCGCTCGCGTGTAGAATTCCGTTGATGTTTACAATAGGTTCAACTTTTGCCTCAACTTTCTGTGTCATATATGACTGAACTATAGTTTATATTGTTGGAGTTTTTAGATCTATTTCAACTTTATAATTCACCCTATTTCCGGTTTCTTAATCTTGCATGAATTGGTTGAAATTTTGTTATTTTTCAGTTGTTTCAGTGTTCTATTTGAAGAATCTTTAAATCAAATGCGAAGTTTGAACTTTAGAGAATAAGCAGAAGCAGAAACTCAATAGAAGCATATCGATGCATGAATTCTCTTTAAGATGATACGTATGGAAATAAACTGTTGATTAGAATATATCATTAGAAAAAGAAAAAAAAAACTAGGAGATTGATTTAGCTTTCGAGGAAATATCAAGCTTTTTGTTTTTCTCTTTCGAAATATCAGGTAAAGATTGATAACAAGGATATCATGTTCTACATAACGGAACAATGTATGTGATAATACATCGATTGTGTATGTTTCCCTGAAAACAACCACTGAACTAATCTGTTATTATTATTTTACCGACTCCGTCTGAGAATTTTTTTCTTAGGCAACTCTATTGTGCTGCCTTTATGCCTCGTCACCTTTTATGTTTGATTAAAATGATCTTAATTCTAGTCATAAACATATATCGATCATCACCTAGCAAGCAATAATCTTGCTAGAGCATGCATCTGGTTTGTTTTTGTGATCTTATCTTCATTTGCTTGCTGAAATGACAGGATTGTCGAGTCATTGTAGCTTAAAACTTTTTACCCGATGGGGAAATGTTTGTGACGATAATGGATCCTCAGGCTTTCATTAGATTGTCGATAGGCTCACTGGGTCTAAGGATTCCTGGAACGGCCTTGAATTCTTCAAGAGCTGGAATCCGTGCATCCTCTGCCCCATGTTCATGTGAGATACGACTCCGAGGTTTCCCTGTCCAAACAACAGCAATTCCTTTAGTATCCTCACCCGAAGCTACACCTGATATTCACAGTATTGCCTCTAGCTTTTATCTAGAAGAGTCTGATTTGAAGGCTTTGCTGACACCTGGCTGTTTCTATAACCACCATGCTTATCTTGAAATCACTGTCTACACGGGGAAAAAAGGAACACATTTCGGTGTCGGAGTCAAGAGACATCAGATTGGGACATTCAAGTTGGCCGTGGGTCCTGAATGGGGTGAAGGGAAGCCGTTGATTCTTTTCAATGGATGGATTGGGATCGGAAAAAGCAAGCATGAGAATGGAAAACCAGGAGCTGAACTTCATTTGAGGGTAAAACTAGATCCTGATCCAAGATACGTGTTCCAGTTCGAAGATGTGACCCTGCAAAGTCCTCAGATAGTACAGCTTCAAGGTTCCGTAAAACAACCAATTTTCAGTTGCAAATTCAGTCGGGACAGGTTTTGTAAAGCTATGAATTGCTTTATCTGTTTTCCATTTCTTTAAGTTAAACTTTGAAATGCTGCAATTAGTTCAGAAATGATTCTTGGAAACGAGACAAATAGATATGTTTGTTAATGAAAGTATTCGTGGTTGTTTTGAACTGCAGGGTAGCGCAGGCAGGTTCGGCTGACAATATAGACATAGAGACGGGAAGAAGAGAGAGGAAAGGATGGAAGGTGAAGATACATGATCTGTCTGGCTCGGCTGTTGCGGCGGCCTTCATAACCACACCCTTTGTACCATCAACTGGTTGCGATTGGGTTGCCAAGTCCAACCCGGGAGCTTGGTTGATTCTTCGCCCTGGCACTTTAAGGCCACAAAGCTGGTTGCCTTGGGGAAAGCTCGAGGCATGGCGTGAGCGCGGTATCAGAGACTCCTTGTGCTGCCGATTCAACCTGTTGTCTGAAGCTCAAGACAGTGAGGTTCTCATGTCCGAGATACATATGAATGCTGAAAAGGGTGGGGAATTTTTTATTGACACCGACAAACAAATGTGGCATGCACCGACTCCTCTACCAAGTCCGCAAAGTAGCGGAGACTTTTCAGCATTAAACCCGAACCTTGGTGGCTTTGTGATGAGCTGCAGAGTCCATGGGGAAAGTAAAAGCAGCAAGCCATCAGTGCAACTAGCCATGCGACATGTGACATGCATAGAGGATGCTGCCATCTTCATGGCACTTGCGGCAGCTGTTGACCTTAGCATAGAGGCATGCAAGCCTTTCCGAAGAAAGACATGGAGAGGCTCCCGCCATTCTTTATAAAGAATCAAGGTGATTTATTTCCATGAACAAAGCATAACTTTATATTTGTGTCGACTGTGTTATCCGGCATTATTCGGCGTTGTGTACAGTATCTTCTGGTTTAGGTATGTACATATATTGTTCAACTCATTTATGGTGTCGGTACAGCCTATAAATGGCACCTATATAATCTATCCGGTCTTCAAGCTGGAGTCTTTGTACAGCTGCTTAGAGCATTCAGTTTTTTCCATTTTTGGTCCAAGACCTTCCGGTAGCCATATTGAATTTCGACTACAACATCGAAGTCAAGTCAGGTTGGACCCTGAACTAAGCAAAAGTTCCATAGGCACCTATTTCCTCCATTAACAGGACTTAAAATCAAGATTCTTGCATATGGGCCACTGAGCTCTTTATCACTTGGTTTGCAGACCCTAGGGATGATAGCTAAAGTTTTAGATTTAGTCCTAACCAAACTCTATTCTGCACCTTTGGCTATCATTGATGTCATGATATATTTCCACTTCAACTATGTGTGTATGTGTATGTATGTATGTATATGTAAATACAAAAATAAATTCACCTGCATTACTTAATGGTGCAAGGGCTAGATGATGCTCATCACATTAATCTCTGCAAGTAGCCAAAGTTTTGCATATTCCATTAAAACAACGTGATATTTTGATGTCAACACCTCATATATAACGGCATTAAAACATGCATCATTTTCCACTTCTCCATAAAAATGTGAAGAACACAGTCAATACGTAGTCACAAAACCAAATTAATTGGCCTTGTATTCCCAGAATCCATTTCAGAAGATCACTTGCAAGACTCCAAATTCAAAAGACAACTCACCTGGATGTTGCTAGAAATAGAAACAGTACAAACTTATAACCATCTATGTCAATTCTTTTTGAGTAATTACAGCCACTAAAAGCTGTCACTAAGCCTCTGTTGTTTCAAACAACTTTTCAAGTTCAGTTATGGTGCTGCGAGCTTCGTCGAATTCCAGGCCTTCTTTTTCATTTGCTTCCTCCAATTCAGCCTGAAATTAAATATGGAAAATTGATCTTTAATCAAGCGTGCATAGAAGTATATATATATATATATATGGAAAATTAAAAATATGGAGAATTAAGAAATCCAAAAGCAACCAAATACAACAGCAAGAATTGTAATCCAAACACCAAAACAAAGGGCACTAAGAGATGTGACAGTAGAGATTTTGCATTTCTTCTCCAAGCTAGTGCTTAGTACTTGGTAGACTTGATAATTTCAGACAGGACATGAACATGACACGAAAAAAGTAACTAAATCAAGACCCAAAACCAAAAATTAACATGAACATGGCACGGAATGAATATAAGAATCGCCAAATCTAGAGCAAAGTATTTTGAAGTTGTCATCCCTAAAAGATGTCAGCAAATTCGGTTATAGGCAGCATATGTATATGCCTACTTTTCTCGAGTAAATCCAGGATCAATATATGTTATCACTAAGGAATGTAGCTTTCAAAGCGAGCGGAGTGTTTGGGACAACTCCTATATGACAAATGCTATTGAAAAAATAACTAAAACAAGACACCAAACGAAAGTTTAACATGATCATGGAACAACATGAATATACGAATTGCCAGATCCGATGCAAAATATTTGGAAGTCACTCATCCCTGAAAGGTATCAGGAAATTCAGTTATAGGGAGTGTATATATAGGCCTACTTTTCTCAAGTAAATTCATGATCTATATCTGTTTGGTACTACTCTTAAGGAGCTCCAATTTTGAAAGATGAACTAACGAAATAATATTGAATACACTTCTCCATCCCTAACTTTTATAATTATCAGATTGGGGTTACCTAAGAAGCTCTAGTAGAACAAACAAAGAAAAATAATCAAATCACGGTTCATTAATGGTGATGAATTCAGTAAGACATAAACTTCATCGAATACTATTATTGTACTATACCAAAGTCGCTTTAAGGTCGGCCAATGAAGCCTCTAGCCGCTTGTGACAATCAGGGATCATCATCCTTGATTCAGCCAGCACATTTTCCTGTCCAAGAAGATCAAAATTATATGTAATAGAACAATTTAAAAGCAGTCGCTCTAAAGTCCAAATTACTCGTCATTATCCAGAAGTGAGTGTTTGAATATGGTTATGTATCCGACACAAACATGATTGATTTTTCTAAGTTTTTCGCATACGAAAAAAACATGGAATTCAAATAATGGGTCTTTCTCAACAGCTTAAACCTCTGCATCAGGAAATTTTGTGCCATTAAAAGCGAAAAAAACATGGAATTCAAATAATGGGTCCTTTCTCTTTCATGTCAGCTGTTTTAGCAGTTTCTCTCTCAACTTCTTTCTCGTACGAGTGAAGCTCTTTAACAATTCGTCTGCAAGTCGATGTCTTGATTTTCAGATTTCTAACAGTTGCCATTGGTTAGCCTGTAAAAAATCGAAATGCTTTTCTATTACTGATTTCCACACTAGTAATCACCAAAAAACCCCAATTTTTTTAATATCAACAAGCAGTACAATACTATTCATCCTCTCAGCACATATCTCTATTATACTTTTCAGTTTCACTATAGTTTTCCTTGCACTTTCTAGGAAACCAAACAGATGGTCTGTTTTGAAATTTGAAGAGTTGGGCTCGACCGGTCTTATTTGAAAGGAAAGAGGAACCCAAAATAATAATGGAAATAAAGCATAAAAGTACATACCTTGGTGAAGTAGACGAGATCTCACGACGAGAACAAGACCACGGAATTGAAATGAAGCTTCACAGAGTAAAAAGCAGGCGAAGAAGTATTAACAATGTTTTTAAAATCGGGCAGGACATTAAATCGGTGAAGGTATTAGTTTAATCAAGTTCAATCGCGGTTGAATTAGATTTTATATAAAATAATATTTTTTTTAAATTTTACATAATATTCAAAGCAATATTAATATATATGTAACACTTTTTTTAAGTTTACACTATTAAAAGGTATAAAAATATCACAAGTCATAACATATATAAATTAAAAACCATAAAATCAAGTGAAACAAAATGATTCAAATCAACTACAACATAATATTTAAGGTAAAACATATTAAATAATAAATATAATTATATAACTATAATCAAAAAAATAAAATTGGGCTTGAAAATCATAACAAATGATGTCATTTAGTTTATTTTATTTTTTTTAAAACAATCGCACATGACTAAGAAATATAGAAGAGCATACCAAAAGTTTAAAGAGTAAAAATATGAAAACAAAACAATCTCACATGGTTAAGAAACATAGAAGAGCATCTCAACTTACTTCCATAAATAATAGAGGTAATTTGACATTCAAAATCATAGAGCCTTTTGGTGAGCACAGAGCGAACTATTCTTTCGCTTTAATTGAGCTCAAATTTTAGGCTTCAATCGAACTTCTAATTTTTTTTTGAGTTCGAGCCTTTTTGAGTTTAAGTTTTAATATTATATTTCGAGTTCGAGTTGAACTTGATAATTTTTAGCTCGTGAGTTTTTTAGTCGAGTTAAGCTTACTTTTAAAGTTTTCGAGTTCAAGTCGAGCTCAGCAATACTCGAATTTGACTCGGCTCATTGAACAAACGACGTCGTTTGGTTTAATTTTTTTTAAAAAGAAAAAAAATGAACCAACGGTTCAAACCGGTTTTGTCGGTTTTCAGCCGATTCACCCCGATTTTACCAGTTTTCAGTCGATTCTACCGGTTTTCAGCCGGTTCATTACCAGTCCGATTTTGTGAGGTAACCGGACTGGATAGGCCACCGATTCATGGTTCAACTGGTTGAAATAATCGATCCGGTCTGGTTTTGATAACCATGGAAATTAGAGATATTCCGTTTGGTTAGGGTTTTGATAATATGAAATATATAAGTTTTGATATTTAATTTTAGTATTTATGTGTAATGTGGTATATAATTTTGTAGTATAATTGAGAATCTAAATCTTTATTATTAATTTATTTTACTTGACTATATTGATTTAAATTATTAATATTATATATTAGGTAAATTATTTATTTGATTATTCATCTATTCTCATATTTTTATTTTGGTTATCTAATTATTTTTAAAAAAATCATGTCTAATTGTTTTAGTTATTCATCATTAGGATTTGACTGTTAACTTAACAGAAATAATAATATCATATAACCTATAAATATTTTAATAAATTCTTAATATTTAAATTTAACAATTCATTAATAATTTAAAATTAGCCACACATCTTATCACATTGGTCACATAATCTATCATATTATTATTTTTGGTTAATTTAATAATCGAATTTCAACGACGAATTATCAAAATAAAAGCAAAACATAACATTACATAGGATTTTTAAAAATAATAATTGAATAATCAAAATAAAAACATGAAATAGATAAACAATTCTATAGAATGAAGGATTCATCTTAGTATGTGTGACACACTTTGTAACACTCCCAGCCCGTATCTGACCCGGATACGAATTCGAAGTATCACATTAACTATTCAAAACATGTACTTTTATAAAAACCCATAGAAAATTTAAAACTTCCATCCTATAAAGTTATTCTTTTACATAAACATGTTCAAAACATTACCAAACTCCATCAGAGTGTACATACTTAATGACTTTGTTTACATGCCAACATACTAAATTACATAATAAGATATATTTTACAAAATATTTCTAATCTGATATTCGAGTGGAGATATGATGTTCTGCTGGTCCTAAGCTTGATCCTCTTGCTTATCAACACCTACATATAAGACATTTACACGTTAAGTCATAGACTTAGTGAGACATGTAAATACATATGTAAACTAACAAATGTATATACATATCATGTAATACAACATCATACTTATATACATACTTAAACCATCATTAACTTGCTTATCATTACTTATTTTATTATCACTAATTCCTTTCTATCATATGAGCATATACTTGACATAAACATATTATATAACCTCTAAATCACCACAATGCATGAACAATTACTATGATCATAGCATACACAAACACATAGCATCTCATATCACAATTACACATATGCACTTATTATTATTATTATCCTTATTCCTATTATCATATGATCCTAAACTTATCATTTATACATGTCATATAACACAGATACATTTCACAAGGAACACACATATTATCATAGCAAGTTATTTATTATCTCTAAAGCCCATGTATACTTTTGAGAACTCAAGGTATGTGAGTACATAGAGGTTGTGCACATATGTTGTCACCACAGCTCATATAATTCCCACTAGGGGCGAGTAGGATTTGTCCCGAATGACCACTATGTCCCAAATGACCACATAGAACCCTCGACTCTTGGCATGCCAACTATACCTATAGCTCTAATAACACATAACATGTGCATTATCTGTTATATCGTTTCACATATTCACATAGGCATATAGTTTACTTTCATGTAGCATATTTCTATATGCTTCACATTCACATATCACATGGCTTCTCACATTTACTTGTATTCTTTTTCACATAGCTCATGGTCATGGTTCTTATCTCATAAACATATATTCACATATATACGTTCTCATATAATTCATATTGTCCACTCTTTGTGAGTACTAAATATGGGTGTGGATATGTGTGCAAGTATACACAATCGAACAAGTAATAAAGTGATAAGTAGAGTATCGTCTCCACAGGGAATTGGATAAGTCAAATAGGTTTGTCACGACACTTTACTTTGTCACCTAAGTAAAGTTAGTGGTGGTATATACAAATAAGAATGATGTGGTAAAATGGAATAACTGATGTGGAAATAGAATGGTGGTAGTGTGATAGCAAATGGTTATGCCGTGACAAATTAAATTACGATACGTGCAAACAAATGAAAATGTCAAGGCAAAATAAAATGTAAACACTGATTTAATATATAGGACTTTAGTTTTCTCACACAACAAGTTGCTATGGGAATGAGTGGTAGGAGACATTAGGAAAATCTAAGTCTATTTCTCTGAATGGTATTTCCTCTATAATTAACCTGCCCGACAGAGTCTACAGAGGTGCCCTATGCTATCTCTAGTAAGGGACTCGACAAATTAAAGATTCCCTGGCAAATCTGATTGGCGTAAACCCCTGCAGTGATTCTATTGGTTTAGATAATAGGATATATCTCGGTAATACCTTTTTGCGGCAGCATTAACATCTAACCTATCATCTTTGTACAGCTCTTTTTAGTCGAATGAAATCTTAGTCTTATCTCTAAGGTGGATTAGGCCTAGTTACTACCTAGAACCCCTTGTTTATGTAGTTCATTCCTAGCTTCTCTCGAAGACTAAAGATATTTTTCCAAGCGAACTCCCACCAAATAGGATTAGTTCATGGTGGGGTTCAAAATAAACAATCACAAAACAAGTTTCATTCGTTCCTTACAACCCAATAACAAAATATGAAAGCAAAGAACTAAGGAGAGAAGAGAAAGCCTTCGACGTGCACTGCCCAATGCTTCCAGCAAGTAAGATTGACGGAGAAAGAAAATACCTTCTCTCTCTAACTTTTTAAGCTCAAATCTGGGTGGAACCAAAGTCTTCTTCCATGTGGCTTCATCCTCTATTTATAGGGGAAAACAAATCCTATTATTTGGTGTTAACTATCCTAGAAAACCCCAAAACCATAGTTGAGTTACTTAGAAGTTGAGCAAGACAGTCTATGATGTAGCCTAGGTAGATGGCTGAGTGACCGACATAATCCCGTCGCAGGCGCCCAAGGACAGACAAGATCTGCAGGGTCAGACGGTGTCATCAACAGAACCGGCAGTTGCAGCGCCGATTCCTCTAGGCATATCTTCGAGGTGGATTTCTTGGGCAGAGGGTATGGAGAGCCAGGAACAGCTGGTTAGAAAATATCTTCTTTCACCTTGTACACTCTCGAAATGTCATTCGAACTTGGCATTTTTATTTAACTCAACAATCTCCTTATGTCGCGGTATTTTCTTTCCTCTTTTCCTTGCTTTCAATACCTGCACATCATCAGACAAGTACCTTTCCCATAAACAGGATCGTAGTAAAAATAAAATGGCACGGTAAATCGAAATCCACCACATGCAGCTAAATGCATCTACATGGTCCTAAATGAGCCTTTATACATTCAATAACTTAAGTTAAAAGGTCCCAAAATGTTACTTTTTTATATAGTTATCACAACCCCAAACTTAAGTTATTGCTTGCCCTCAAGCAATGAATAGTAATAAGCAAAACAAAAATACCATGATAAGTTCAGAAGCCAAATAGTTTCATGGAATAAAATTTAAGCCCTCAGTACATATGACTTCAACATGCTAGACTAGGTTTGAGAGTTTAAGTATTGTCCCCTAGAACAACATTCTTTGTGTGGGTGTGTGCGTTTTTGTATCCAGTCCATGCTTAGTAAACTTAAAAATTTTCTAAGCAAGCTTTCTTAATTTTCCATGACATTTTCAAAATCTACTCCCACTTTTCTTTTCTTTTCTTTTATTAGTTTTGCTACGAGGGGAGTTAGCCCATCACTCTACTATCCCACACTCTACGTGAAAGAGAGCATACCTTCCACCCCCGAGCTAGTCAAGTAGAGTCATCCCGTGATATCTTTCATTCACTAATATGGCATGGCATAGCGGAGTGCCCCTCTACATATATGCCTAGGCATTTATTCTCAACTTCATTCCAAACATTTTTTTTAGCAGTTTTCATCATTAAAAATTTTATGCCATGGCATTTAAAAATTCTTTTATAAAAAATTTCCAAGTTTCTCAAGCATGGAAAACATACAATCATGTTCTCA